TCTCGACGACTTACTTAGCGATGGTGGTTTGGAAGGCTTCAGCTTTGGTCTTCAGGGCCGTGATACGTTCCAGCACTTTCTCCTGCACAGGAAGGAAACGGTTGGTGGGCCACAGGAAAAGTTCTCACAGCTAGGAGAAATATCTTCCTGGGCTTCAAGTTCACTGCAGATGGGGACTGCAGCCAAGAAATTAAAAGACGCTTGCTCCTGGCGAGGAAAGCTATGGCAAATCTAGACAGCGTACTAAAAAGCAGAGACATCACCCTGCCAAACAAAAGTGCGTATAGTCAAGGCCATGGTTTTCCCAGTTGCAATGTATGGATGTGGAAGGTGGACCATAAGAAAGGCTGAGCGCCAAAGAATTGAGGCCTTTGAACTATGGTGCTGGAGAAGACTCCTGCGAGTCCCCTGGACCGCAAGGCGATCCAACCGGTCAGTCCTAGAGGAGATCAACCCCGACTGCTCTTTAGAAGGCCAGATCCTGAGGTTGAAACTCAAGTACTTTGGCCACCTAATGAGAAGGAAGGACTGACTGGAGAAGAGCCTAATGCTGGGAAAAATGGAGGGCAAGAGAAGAAGGGGACGACAGAGAATGAAGATGGCTGGATGGAGTCACTGAAGCAGGAGGCGTGAGCTTCAATGGACTCCAGAAGATGGTAGAGGACAGGAAGGCCTGGAGGAATGTGGTCCATGGGGTCGCCATGGGTCGGACACGACTTCGCATCTAACAAGGAGAAATAAAAATGTTGGGGACGGCGAAAAGCCTCCGTTGCTCCCCGATTCTTTTTTTTACCTGAACCGCCACCCCGAAGTCGTTGCCGTCCTCAATTTTGGGGATCATGAACTGGATCCAGGTGGTGACCTGACCGGGGGGGGGATCAGGAGAAAGAAGGCGGAAGTTACTTTGCGGGAAGAAAAAACAAAATACGTCGTTTTTTTTCACCAGATAGACCGCCGCAAGGAAATCCCCGGCCAATCAGAACTGGGGGAGGGAAGTCGAGACCCCCGGTTGCCAACTTACCAAAATGCATTTTTCTTTAAACTCACGAACTTCAGGTTTCACGCGATCCAGAAGTGAAATGAGAACCTCGTTGCCTTTGAGAAACCCACATTTTGGAGCTGGGAATTGCAGGAGAAGAGAAATTAAGTCCATAAAATGCTGGGAAATACTTTTAAAATTCATTCCCCTTTTCTTTTTTCTTTCTTTCTTTTTCTTTCTTTTTCTTTCCTCCCTCCCTCCCTTCCTCCTTCCCTCTCTCCTTCCTTCCCTCCCTCCTTCCCTCCCTTTCCCTCCTTCCTTCCTTCCCTCCCTCTTCCTTCTCTCCTTCCTCCCTTTCTCCCTCTCCCTTCCTTCCCTTTCTTCCTTCCTTCTCTTCCTCCCTCCCTCCTTCCTTCCTTCCCTCTCTCCCTCCCTCCTTCCTCCCTCTCTTTCCTTCCCTCCCTTCCTTCCTTCTCTTCCTCCCTCCCTCCTTCCTTCCCTCTCCCTCCCTCTTCCCTCCCTCCTTCCTCCCTC